ACCTCAGAGCTATGAATTCAACCAAATGGAACAAATTTACTGATCACACAGATTTTCTTTACAATAATCAAAACCTCTAATAACTCAAAGATCTTTCACCTTCAATCTCAAATATGAACATTTTATGGACTGAAATCAAAACTGCTACTTTAACCGCTAATAGAAAATATATACCACAGCTTTAGATCTCTCCTGTAGACAAAAATGCTCCATTTTATGAATCATCTGATGCTACAGTCACTACAAAACAAATCAACTCTATCCTTTTGAAATTCAGAATTAAATTTATACAACATAAGCAATGGCCAAAAGATAAATGTTTGACTGACATCATTAGTATCATATCAAAAATCACAAAAAAATTTGATCTTCCCTCTTTTAATTTTCCTGCATTTATTGATCAATATAACATTTTTGCTATTAAAGCATATCTAAAAAATACACACAAGACATTACTTAGTTATGCTAAAATAGAATTGCAAAAAGTAAAAGAATTATCTATTAAATAATATATTGATCAAAGATGTGACAATTTATCCACCAACCCTTCCAAAATGATTAATTCAATCCTAAATAGAAAGAAAAGATCAATTATTATGGATAGACTCTTGATTGACATTTCTAATTCCAATGATAAATATTTTTCAATTGATCCTACTGAGATTAAAAACGCAGCTATTAATCACTTCCTAAATTATGCCTTATCAATCGAAGCTGAACGTTGTTAATCTTAAACAGTCCGTCGTTAAGTTAACAATGATTATTTGCTAACAGGGAGTTTAATTACGTTTAAACTATGAAAGAAATAAACACGAGTTTAATTAATTGAAGGGTCAGATCGTCTTTATCGATATTTATTATTTTGAAGATAATTAGTTAACTCCCTTCTTTATTAAAGTAAAGATGCAAGATATTTATATAAAATACATTAATAGAAAATAGATATTTAATAAAGTAAAGAAATATAAGAAATTAAATATATTAAAAAAATTAAAGATCACTAAGAAATCAGAGAATTTATAGAAATTATAGAAATTATAGATATTATAGAAATTATAGAATGTAAGAAATTTAAGATTAGCGATCATCGGATTCACAAATTACTAAATGTAATTGATATAATGTTATGTATCCTAAATAGACTATCACAAACTTGTAGATCACTAGTAGTTTATAGATCACAAACAAAAATTGTTACAGTAATTTTTGGAGTATTATTACTAACAACGTCTATATGAAGTCACTATAAAAGATAATAGTAATGAAATATCAAATATCTTTTATTAAACATTTTAAAAACCTATTTTAAGTTATTCTTCAATTCAAGAAAAATTAAAGATATTTATATAAAATAAATTACTTATAATATAAAATCAATTGTTTTATATAATATGCATAGTAAAAATAAATAATTTAATAAAAAAGATTAATAAAATAAAGCTACTTAATATTAACTAAGTAAGTGTAAAATATGCAAATAATATAAATATTCATATTTATCAACCTAATATGTGATTACCCTTAGTCATATATCATTGCTATAATACATAACTTTATACTTAAAAAATTGACATAATTATCAAATTAATTATCTGAAAAATGAAACTTTTAAAAAAGTTATAGAATATATTTTCAAATCTAACTTAATAATTTATAATTATTACTGTATAAAAATATTGTCATCAAATAATATCACAAAAAAATCATAAGATAAATTTAATATATGGGTTATGATCTAAAAAATCTAAAAAAATCAAATTTTGAGAATTTTTATCAAAATTAAGATTTTAATTGTATTTTAATTTTTATTATATTTAGATCAAAATGTAATAAGATATTAATTTTAGTCAAAAATTTCTCAGAATCTGATTTTCTTAGATTACAATCCATATTAGCAGTATAAAAAGTAAAAAATAAGTAATAGTAAGGACACATTCATATCCAATTAATAAAAGATCAAATAAAAAATTTTTAAAATTTGATAGAATCTAAACTAAAAACATATATATAATTCAGCAAAAATTGATTTTTTAAACTGATTAATCAGAATAAAAATGGTAAAAATAGCATTAAATTTTTTGATTAAATTTTTTGATTTATATATTGAACAGTTTTCAAACTATATAAAAATAATTTTAGAGAAAATTACATATTATAATCATTATTTATTAGAAAATAAATACTAAAGATGCTTAAGCTAAATTTTGTTTTACAAGATAATTATTATGTGAAAATTGATTGGAATTTTTTGTTATTTTATTTTCTTAATATTTTGATTATCAATATATTAGATTTTCACACAAATTAAATTTAATTGATTCACTTTAATAAATATTTAAAGAACATATACTAAGAATTGTTTAATTAGACTAATAAAAATTAGTAATAGCCTTTTAGACTAATTGACAATTGGATAATTAGACTATTGAACTATTCAACTTTATCTATTTCATTTCAAAATTTATTGGATTATTAGACTTATATTCAATTATAATTGCTAAATTTTTTTAAAAATTAAAAATAAATAAATTTAAACATATAATTTCTTTAATAATGTCATTAATCTATTAACATGTAATTTTATTTATTTATTATAGCAATAATTATGTAATATTTATCAATTTATTATTTGCTAGATATTATATAAATTCATTCATTACATATTATTTTATTATCTAATTATTTAGAATATTTGTCAAATAGCTAGCGGCTTCTAAACTTTCAATAAAAATATCTTGAAGTTTCTATTTAGCATTTTTATCAGTAACAGGCAAATTAGGAATATTAGCAACAGTATATCGTCTTCATAATAAAGATCATCATTTTCCAGTTCATCAAAATCTAAATTCTCTAACATACTTATTCATCTTAAAACCATACCTTGCCAATCACTTACTGCTTGTATACTACCAGTATTTTCATTTATATTATCATTTTTCTCATCAGATAACTTATTATCAGATACATTAGGTGTATTGTAAACAGCATCATCATTAATTTCTGGTAATATAGGTGATGCTATATTTACATTTTTAAACTTACGTGTCTCTTCATCAATTTTTTCAAATTTTAGTTTTGTTGCATAGAAGCTCTTATCTGCGTCATTCCAAGTATCTTTTCAGACTAACATTAGTTAATTATAATTTATTAGTATACTTTAATATGTTAAATTTAAATAAAAAAAAATAAATTCTTACTTCTAATCAATTTCTCCGTTTTGAATGTCATTATGGAAAAATGCTTTTCCAAGATGCTGTTGTTACTGAAATTGAAAAAATTTGCTCTGCTACTTGATAAAGTTCCTTTGAATATCCACGCATATAATTCAAAAACCTAATAATATCTTGATCAAATTGACATGCAGTTGCATCATTATATATTTTCAACTCAGCTAGTAATATAGTAATATAGTTGGTTTTTCATTAAACCAATCACAATAATAATAAGTAATCCATCGTCCAAGATGAGAAAAAGAGAGATTTTCAATGGTAGGATTAAATTTATTTGTTCAATAACCAGGATGAAGCAAAATGATAAAAGTAAAAGCAGTTGCTTCCAACTGGCCCATCTTTTTTCTAGCTTTTATAAAAGCCTTTTACTTAAACTACGATTGGTAAGAGAATGTATAACTGTAATTAGATTTCCAAAGCTATGAAGTACTTCATAATCGAGAATTATACTGTCGCAATTTATTTAATGCAGCACAATAAGGAAGTATAACTGTCTTTAGCTGCTTAAGATTTTTCTACCAATCATTATCCGAAATATATTTGAGGGGTTCGTCAGGAAAATCATAAGATCATCAGTAAATTGCTCTTCAATTTTAGTTGCCAGGTTCTAAAGTTAATTAGTAATATATTAGTTTAAAATAAATAATAAATAAAATAAGTAAAAATTTTAATAAATACCTTAAGAGCAGATTTTGTTCATAATAAGCTCGCAAAACAATGATAGTGCGAATTCCAGTGAGATTCATTAGGAACAATGCATAATACTTGTTTTTATATATTGCAACCTGCTTTTCACGCAATTTTCCGATCCATACTTTGCTCGACTAAAAAACAGACTATTGCAATGGTTTGCTCAGCTATAGTAGTGATTGCACTTTCTTCTTTAAAGATATTTCCTACACAGAGGTTCATTTGATGTGCGAAATAGGGTAAAAACAAATTTTCACAATGTATAATTTGCAGGCGTTGCTATTATTAAATTATAATAAATTATAAATTAAAGTAAATGATAAAATATTACTCATTAATTATAAATTTTAAATTAATAACTTACTGTGCTGCAACATTTTCTGAAGCTAAATCCGTAACTAAACCATTAACTTTGATGTTCATTCGTTGAAGTTCATCAAAAAGTTCTTTGGTAATTTGTAAAATTTCATCTCCAGTTCCTCTTTTTCCTCCACAATCACTCAAATGACTACATCACCAGAAGAGATGATTAGAATAACATCTAAGAGATGTTGTCAGGTTATATTTTCCATCCATAAAAAGCGAGAGTTACGCCTAAATGATCTTCTTTTGCACTATCAAGTAAATTTGTTGATACCTGCTCAGTCGCATCCTTGAAAATTTATCCTCCTAATACTTTCCGAGTTTGTAGAGTGATCATTGGATTTAGCCAGTTTCACTGCATTATTTTCTACCCATTGAAACGCCCAGTCACATGAGATTGTTACTAATAAAAATCCTTCAAGTGTATTTACTTGAGATGCTGTTAAGGGATGAAAAACATAGTTGTTCAAAGTATTTTCATTTTGAAAAGGCATCAGCTCATCATTTTCTAATTGATCTGCTTCAACATCATCACTGGTTAACTCATCTGATGCAGTGCGTTGTCGTTTTTTTACTGGCTTGTTTGAATTAAATTTTGCTCTATCTTTTGCGGATTTATCAAGTAAATTTTTTATTTGTTCAGGTGTATATGTAGCTGCAAAATTTGAACAATTTTGGAAATGACGCGTACATTCTTTTTTTTGTGTTTGTAAACTTATATGCAACTTCCTTTCCAAGTATATATACGAACACAAGCACGACTTACAGCATATTTAATGCTTTTATTTGCAGAATGAAAGACAATAACATATGGTGTCAAAAAGTGTTGCCTACGACCCATTGTTATGTGACAAAAAATACAATTAGATTTAGCAATTATAGGGTGATCATTTATAAAGACACGAAACTTGAATCATACAGTTTATATCTATTAAAATGTGAAATAATTTATTTATTAATTATGAACATTGATTTTTAAAAAATTATTGGTCCAATATAGACAATTGGACAATGTCCTAAAAGATAATGAATGATGTGGACTTAGTCCAAATTCCATCAATGTCCAAATACAATTGGAATTTGAGTGGACGTTTCCAATTAGTCCAAGTCCTATAGTCCAAAAATTTTTAAATGGACCTTGTCCAATTCCATCACTGATGAAATTGATTTAAGTCGTTATCTTTAAACGATTTTTCGTTACAAAATCAATTTTCGACTTTGGCGATTTTTCGACTTTCAATCCCGATCCTAGTTTCTAGGTATCGAAAAATGTTCATTTGTTTACAATTTAAGACATTTAAACAAGGTAAATAAAAAAATAAATGACAGCAAGTGAAGAGTACCATCATCAAAATCTTAAGAAGCATATCCAGAAGTCAAGCAACTATTAAAAGGCAAATGGGCGATGCAACAAGAAACGACCCAAAATACAATTGACAAATCTGTGTAATATCACGGATGCCAAAAAATAGAAATATGATGGAAATGTGCTAATATTCCCCAAAGTATTTAATTTGATTAAATGGTATTCAATGCAAATGTCATTATTGATAATGAAGCTGACGTATCAACTTTATTATTTATCTTGTAATTGATAGATTCGAAAACTTTATATTATAAAATATACAGTAAGCAATAACACAAATTTGTATTTGAAATTCAAATTTTTTTTTAAAACCTTGTATAAGATCGCCAAGGCGTTCTTTTGTACACATGCGAGAAATTTCGAGAATAAATGCTACATAACCCCTTGTATTCTTTTTAGTAAAATAGAACCAACTATACATAATATTTGAAATATCTAATATGTAAATCAACTTCTCTTTGTATCAAAAATCTTCCCTATATTTATTTTAATGAAATATATCAAAACTGAATAATTATTACAATATCTTCTTCGATTGACCCTGTCCATCTTGCAACACGGACTTCAGAGTCCTCTAAAGTAAGGTGAAACAATTTAACTAAAATAATTTTATTTTATTTGTCCCTCAAGAAAGGATCAAACTTATATAGTCGTACAACGCATTTATAACGCTCTATTGTTGAAATGTATCCGAAAGAAATGATTGAGCAAGAATTGTTTGTATACACTTACAAATACACACACTCCCACACACCACATGAAAATGAAAGGTTTCAGTTAATAAAATTACGCCTTCGCTTTATTGATCACACATGATCACACTGTTAGTGATAGTCTAGTTATGACGCATTAGTACTGCGCCAATTACAATTAGCGAATGATGATCCCGTCGATC